CGTGAAACTGTAAGCTGGGAATATGAGGACACGGCGAGGTTGGACGCTGCCCACCACAACGGCTTATAGCGTCTTAAAGATTTGAAGTCTGTCCTGGCACGTCGTTTCAACAAAATAGTTTATATGTATGTAGATTGCGGCCCTTAACTTTTGTTTTCTATTGAACCATGTTTTGTTATTTAGAGTTTGCTGAAAGACGCACTTCCCGTCCCACCTCAGAGTATTTCAAACATCTAACTAACGTGATCATGGTCCCGTGAGCTTATCACCGGGATGTTCATTAAGAATACAGGTTTTTAAAACAGTTGATCAATACAACTGAATACTACAGATGAACACTACATCTGATCACTACAGTTTGACGCCGCACTAGGCCAACATGCCAGCTATATGGCGGCCTTGACACATGTCAGGCTCGCTGACTTGGTTGACACATGTCTTCGGTTCCTAATTGCGGAGATCGATGTTCATGCTGTTGATCACTGGATTGTCTGGTTATTGACTCGATTATTTACAGACCGCCGCCATATAGCTGGATTATTGCTGAGTGCGGCGTAAAACTAAACTCACTCACTCACTCACTCACTCTTGACACATGTATTAAATTGATTTTATTGTCAGTGGCGGTGCCCACTTTAGCAGTGCAGCTGTCGGTACAGCGAGTGAGACCTGGACCCACACACGGTCACATGGACTGATTCAATGCCGAACCTGATATTCCCTTACAAACAGCCAATAAGCTAGTAAATGTGTTTATGTGTTTCGAATTGGGGATTGCTTAAAACAAAGGGAAACAACTCCTTACAGGTGTAGTGTCTCAACGCTGAATGACTCAGTGGAAACTTGTCATACTGAAGTTTCACCCCAGTTGTATTTATCCAGGTCTTAGCCTAGTCAGTGATCCATAGACATCGTTGTCAGGGACGGCCTACATACTTCTCGTGAGGCGTGAACCTGTGAGGTATTCTAGTCGGATGTCCTATTTTGAGGTGTCCCTGTTTTTACTGACCCAAGAGGAACAACAGCGGGTGTATTAAGATCGGGAGTTAGGGGTGACCATCTCTTTGTTTGTCTTTCTCTCCCACAACTTCAGAGTAATCTTGATATAACATTGGAATGCTAACCTGAGAAATACACATGAATGATTACTCAAGTTGTTTATTTGTATGAAGGCCATTGGCCCATATACACATAGTACGTTTATATCGAGCATTAATTACATACAATGTACAGTATACATGGATGTTTTATATATGTTACATATTTCCAACATTTTGTTCTCTTGAGATTAAGCTTTGACAAACATATTGGCATAAATTATTTAATACATCACTACACTTTGAATTCATTAGCTGTCTAAATTTGTCTTAGCATTATATTTCGTTGTTTTCTACTTGTTAATAGAGAGGTACTTTTCTGGTTCAAGGCTTTTATATTGTCTATGTACACTGTATCGAGAACTTTATGTATAATACCATTCCATGTGTAAATACATATCTGGGAAAAATGAAATATCCAACACCTTCAACCCAACATACCAAAACCATGTGAAAATAGAAGATTACAAACATAAGAAATATAAGTTGTATATCATTTGGTCATAAGTCTGTGGATACAAGTTTTAACCAATATTTTACGTTTAAAAGTGGATATCTTTCACCGTATACATGCAGTGAGTGGATGGACATTTTCAATTTTAATATAGAAATTATTATAACCCCAAACTTCAGCACCATATAAAATAATTGGTTGGATTTGCGTATCAAATATCTTAAAGAAAACGGAATAGTCGACAAAATCTACTTTATACAGGTGATGAATAACTTCCAATAAAGACCTTTTACCCCTATATGACAAATCTTGTATACATTTATTAAATTTACATGAGGACGCAAAGAGAATACCTAGATATCTATACTAATCTACTGTTATAACATTATTTCCTTTATAAAACCATTTTTTGTGCTTCGACAGGCGCCCACTTCTTCTAACAGCTACAATATTTGTTTTCTTAAAATTTACTGTTAGACCCCACGTATCTGCATATTGTTCTAAAATATTAAGTTGTCTTTGAAGACCAGATATTACATCGGAGACTAAAATCACATCATCAGCAAATAATAATAACAATATCTCGATCATATCAGGGAAGAGCTGAACGCCATATTTTCCATTATTAGCAATTTCTAAAGAAAGTTCATTTATGAAGAAAGAAAATAAAAGCGGACTTAAAATACAACCTTGCCGCAAACCGATTGGACATTAAAAAAAATCAGTGAACATATTATTATTACTTCTAACACAAGATTTTACAGATCTATAGATACTCTGAAGTGCTCTTAACATCTTTCCACTTAATCCAGATGAATATAAATATTCCCAAAGTTTATTACGGTCAATGGAGTCAAACGCCTTCCGAAAATCTATAAAGGCTACATAAAACTTCTTTTTCTTCTTCAATAAACATTTTTGTATTAAAGCATATAAAGTAAATATATGGTCCATAGCAGAATACCCATGTCGAAATCCAGCTTGGGTTTCTGTAAGTTTATCACGTATAGTAACCCAGTTAGTCAATCTATTTTTTAGTATACATGCATATATTGTTCTTAATGTACAAAGAAGTGAAATTCCCCTGTAATTATTTGGATTATCCCTATTGCCTTTCTTATGTAAGGGGATGATAATTGTCTTAGTCCACTGCTCAGGAAATAAGGTTGAATGAAACATTCGATTAAATAAATTTCTTAAAAATTGAGTAATGAGCGTTTCAGAACGTTTCAACATTTCGGCAACAACATGATCTTTATATGGGTGATGGCATCATGGATTTCTACATCAGTAATTGGTGATTCAAGAATACATTTATCAATTTCATCTAACGGTTTATCACCATACGCCTTAAAATCTACATTAAACTGGGTACCCATACTATTAAACACATTCTTAAAATGGTTCATCCACATGTCTGGTTCAATGTTTGAGGTACTAACATCTGTACGAGAGAGATCATTATCCATATCAGCTGTTATCTGTTGGCTACTGTACGACAGAGTGTGTTTTATTAAGACAATCACTCCACCAGATAACCTTCCAGCCTTAGCTAGCCTACGAGCTTTTGACATATACATGTTATAGGCTGAGAGCTGAGGTATGGGTATCAATTTGTCTACAAATGTTTCCACAAAAGAAATCATTTCAAACTCTTTAATGTAGGAGATAAAATCAACATTATCAATTTTCGACAATAATCCTTCAATATTCCAGGTTACAAAGCTAAAACTAAAGGGAGAAGAACAATGAACACCTGATATATGCTGTGGGTGGTGTTGGAGGGCCGGGCGGTGTTCCTAACTGTCATCCATAGCGACAGAGCTGCCTGTGGGCGACCCTGCAGCAACAGAGGGGAGCAGGTCTGTATATGACCCTGCAGCTATGCAGTGGGGGGCAGGTCTGTGTACGACCCTGCAGCTACAGGGGCAGGTCTGTGTACGACCCTGCAGCAACAGAGGGGGGCAGGTCTGTGTACGACCCCTGCAGCAACAGAGGGGGCAGGTCTGTGTACGACCCCTGCAGCTACAGAGGGGGCAGGTCTGTGTAGACCCTGCAGCTACAGAGGGGCCTGCAGCTACAGAGGGGCGGGTCTGTGTACGACCCTGCAGCAACAGAGGGGAGCAGGTCTGTGTACGACCCTGCAGCTACAGAGGGGGGCAGGTCTGTGTACGACCCTGCAGCTACAGAGGGGGGCAGGTCTGTGTACGACCCTGCAGCTACAGAGGGGGGCGGGTCTGTGTACGACCCTGCAGCAACAGAGGGGAGCAGGTCTGTGTACGACCCTGCAGCTACAGAGGGGGCAGGTCTGTGTACGACCCTGCAGCTACAGAGGGGGCGGGTCTCCAGTCCGGTGTCTAGACTGTGAGGCGGGTGTGGAGTTGACCGAACTTCTCGGTCTGGCACGCACTCAAAAATAACACATACAACTTTATGGATGACAACTTCTTGTGTATTGTTTAGAGCCCGAGGTCAGAGGTCGGGTCTGTTTTTACCCCTGGTACCTGACATGCAATTACCCGTGACACAGGTCGTTGCTCGGGTCTGTTTATAACCCTGGTACCTGACATGGTACCACCAGTGACAGAGGTCGGTGCTCGGGTCTGTTTATAACCCTGGTACCTGACATGGTACCACCAGTGACAGAGGTCGGTGCTCGGGTCTGTTTATAACCCTGGTACCTGACATGGTACCACCAGTGACAGAAATCGGTGCTCGGGTCTGTTTATTACCCTGGTACCTGACATGGTACCACCAGTGACACAGGTCGGTGCTCGGGTCTGTTTATAATCCTGGTACCTGACATGGTACCACCAGTGACAGAGGTCGTTGCTCGGGTCTGTTTATTACCCTGGTACCTGACATGGTACCACCAGTGACACAGGTCGGTGCTCGGGTCTGTTTATAATCCTGGTACCTGACATGGTACCACCAGTGACAGAGGTCGTTGCTCGGGTCTGTTTATAACCCTGGTACCTGATATGGTACCAACAGCCCTTCTGGGACCGGATAACAAAACGTTACTATTGAAAGAGAGTCATTGGATCTGTACATAAAAAACATAGATGTCTCAATATGTCTAAGGTAATTTATTCCTGCTTCATTACAGGGAAAAGTCTACGAACATCAAGCAGTTTTACATACATACAGGGTACTACATAGAAAAGTATTTTAGAAAATGTATGTAAGGAAGTAAAGTCACACTTGAAAGAGTGGACACTTGTAAGCCACCACAGATCGACAGTATTGTGTTTTTAATGGTTGAGGTATTGAAATCCCGCATGCAAACGTTTAACACGACTTGTTATCTTGAAACTTGAAAGGAAGCTGATCCTTCACCGTATGATTCTTCACTGTGTTTATGAAAGTCTACCACTGACTGACTGAGCCCGGTTACACACCGCTTTTATCAATATTCCAGCAATATCACGGTGGGGGACACCAGAAATGGGCTTCACGCGTTGTACCCATGTGGGGAATCGAACCCGGGTCTTCGGCGTGACGAGCGAACGCTTTGACCACTAGGCTACCCCTTATGATTGATAAGCTTTGTAGAAAGACAGAGAAAACACAATAGTCAGGTGTAATGATGTGATCTACGCTAAAAGCTAGTAGAATTATGCAGATAGGTTCAGGGTTTGGACTTCAGCGCTTTGATCAGTCTCTCAAGAATGTTGTTTTTCAAGTCGACTGAAAAGAAACGAGCAATCTTCAATAACGAGCATACTGATACGGACATATATCGACAATACGTAATTGAATAGGGAAGATTCCCTAGGATATTTTTTTAAAACAACGTCATATTCAAAATAGCCCTCGTATCTTATTTCTATTGTAAGGACCCGTGAAGTTCCGGGTTAGAATGTGCCTTCAGCTGTGTATGAAATAAACCAAAAACCCAGCCAGACATCAGGACTGCTAACTTGAAAATGTTACCAGCCCAACATGGATTTAACCAGACCAGACACCAAGCAAGATATGGTCAAATTACTCAGATGTATGGAACACCTAAAAGTTTTACCAGACCATCGGACTGGCTAGCTGTAAATCTAGACCGTCCGTCAGAAATCTAGCCCGTCTCGGGCGGTCGGACGGGCCATATTTCATACACAGTAGCCCATGCTTGTCGTAAGAGGCGACTAACGGGATAGAGTGGTCAGGCTTGCAGACTTGGTTGACACATGTCATCGGTTCCCAATTGCGCAGATCGATGCTCGTCTGGTCCAGACTCGATTATTTAGAGACCGCCGCCATATAGCTGGAATATTGCTGAGTGCGGCGTAAAACTAAACTCACTGACTATTGTAAGGAGAGGGTCATCACGAACTTACATACATTGTAGAGACCGCCACTTCCTTTAGTCTACTCACCCGAAACCGCATCGGTGTGGTCGCCAGTGTCTGTAGACTTCCGAACCATTCCGCCCGTTCCGCCCGTGAGCCCGGACAGGACCCTGTGGAACTCATGGCCTTTATGCATAAGTCTCACGAGATACCTCACAGCAACCATAAACAACCGGTTATGCTGGCTCTTGTCGTATTTCGCTGCACAAAACACAACAAATAGTCTGCAAGGGCATTTTGAAATTGTATGTCATATAGCAAACAAGTCGATACTAAAGGTGCATGTCATACATCCAACGGGGGCATACTCAATTTGATTTGTGAAAAAGTAATATTTATACGAAGAGAACGTCTTGTGCCATGGTAATAGGTTATCTGCAGGTTATCATTGCACTGTTAGTGTGATGTCGCCATGGTAACGGGATGATAATGGGAGTAAGCTTCTTAATCAAAGTTTACATTATCCGCCACTTATGCTACTAGAACAGAAATGCTACGTTCAGTTGCAGCAACAGAGATCACTAACATCTGCGATATTCACATGACGTATTTTGTAAGTGTCCGCACTTGTCCACACTGACTACTACTTACGATCCAACCATTTTAAGGTGAAGGCCCCTTTCACGAAAAAAGAGAAACAGTCGGCGTCAGCTAGGATTGCAGTATGGCGCTCTGCTACGGTTGCCTCTGAACCTGAGAAAGATTTGATGAAAGAATAACTCCATTATTCCAACTCTTTTTCATAATTTTGTTGTTGTTGTAACCTAATGAGTTGTTTATAAACGTAATGCAACTCTACATCATATACCCCATTCGTTTCCTTTCTTGAGATTCTCCATTATGTGTCTCTGGCAGTTTGCCTGGTGTTTTTATTGATACTGGAACACACTTTACACACATACTGAGAATCTAGAGCCAAGATCAAAATGACTTTATCTTCCATTCTGAACCTATCCAAGCTATGATTTACTCAATGTCCCTATATACCATCTTCCATTTTGAACCTATCCAAGCTATGATTTACTCAATGTCCCTATATACCATCTTCCATTCTGAACCTATCCAAGCTATGATTTACTCAATGTCCCCATCTATACCATCTTCTCATTCCTGAACCTCTTCCATCCAAGCTATCCAAGCTGATTTACTCAATGTCCCTATATACCATCTTCCATTCTGAACCTATCCAAGCTATGATTTACTCAATGTCCCTATATACCATCTTCCATTCTGAACCTATCCAAGCTATGATTTACTCAATGTCCCTATATACCATCTTCCATTCTGAACCTATCCAAGCTATGATTTACTCAATGTCCCTATATACCATCTTCCAGAATCGAGGTTCCATAAGCCGCGTACTCCTGAGTAGTACATGGAAACTATTACTCAAATGAATGCAAGCAATGGATCTAAACGACACATTGAGGGGTGTAAATAGTATGTCTTGGTTTATGCTGAAACTCCAGATGGACCATGTTAGTATTTGTCTTGGTTTATGCTGAAACTCAGGATGGACCATGTTAGTATTTGTCTTGGTTTATGCTGAAACTCCAGATGGACCATGTTAGTTATTTGTCTTGGTTTATGCTGAAACTCCAGATGGACCATGTTAGTTATTTGTCTTGGTTTATGCTGAAACTCAGGATGGACCATGTTAGTATTTGCCTTGGTTTATGCTGAAACTCCAGATGACCGATGTTAGTATTTGCCTTGGTTTATGCTGAAACTCCAGATCACCGATGTTAGTATTTGCCTTGGTTTATGCTGAAACTCCAGATGGACCATGTTAGTTATTTGTCTTGGTTTATGCTGAAACTCCAGATGACCCATGTTAGTATTTGTCTTGGGTTATGATGAAACTCCAGATGGACCATGTTAGTATTTGTCTTCGTTTATGCTGAAACTCCAGATGGACCATGTTAGTTATTTGTCTTGGTTTATGATGAAACTCCAGATGACCCATGTTAGTTATTTGTCTTGGTTTATGCTGAAACTCCAGATGGACCATGTTAGTATTTGTCTTGGTTTATGCTGAAACTCCAGATGGACCATGTTAGTATTTGTCTTGGTTTATGCTGAAACTCCAGTTGGACCATGTCAGTATTTGCCTTGGTTTATGCTGAAACTACAGATGGACCATGTTAGTTATTTGTCTTGGGTTATGATGAAACTCCAGATGGACCATGTTAGTTATTTGTCTTGGGTTATGATGAAACTCCAGATGGACCATGTTAGTTATTTGTCTTGGTTTATGCTGAAACTCCAGATGGACCATGTTAGTTATTTGTCTTGGACCATGTTAGTGATGAAACTCCTGATGACCCATGTTAGTTATTTGCCTTGGTTTATGCTGAAACTCCAGATGGACCATGTTAGTTATTTGTCTTGGTTTATGATGAAACTCAGATGGACCATGTTAGTTATTTGTCTTGGGTTATGCTGAAACTCCAGATGGACCATGTTAGTTATTTGTCTTGGTTTATGCCTCCAGATGGACCATGTTAGTTATTTGTCTTGGGTTATGATGAAACTCCATGGACCATGTTAGTTATTTGTCTTGGTTTATGATGAAACTCCAGATGGACCATGTTAGTTGATTTGTCTTGTATTTGCCTTGTTTATGCTGAAACTCCAGATGACCCATGTTAGTATTTGCCTTGGTTTATGCTGAAACTCCAGATGGACCATGTTAGTATTTGCCTTGGTTTATGCTGAAACTCCAGATGGACCATGTTAGTATTTGTCTTGGTTTATGCTGAAACTCAGGATGGACCATGTTAGTATTTGTCTTCGTTTATGCTGAAACTCCAGATGGACCATGTTAGTTATTTGTCTTGGTTTATGATGAAACTCCAGATGGACCATGTTAGTATTTGCCTTGGTTTGTGCTGAACCTTCAGATGGACCATGTTACTTATTTGTCTTGGTTTATGATGAAACTCCAGATGGACCATGTTAGTATTTGCCTTGGGTTATGCTGAAACTCCTGATGGACCATGTTAGTTATTTGTCTTGGTTTATGCTGAAACTCCAGATGGACCATGTTAGTTATTTGTCTTGGGTTATGATGAAACTCCCGATGGACCATGTTAGTTATTTGTCTTGGGTTATGATGAAACTCCAGATGGACCATGTTTGTATTTGTCTTCGTTTATGATGAAACTCCCGATGGACCATGTTAGTTATTTGTCTTCGTTTATGCTGAAACTCCAAATAGACCATGTTAGTTATTTGTCTTGGTTTGTCCGGAAACTCCGAATGGAGGATTTAGTGAGAGATTTAATTGATGACCTTAGGGCCTGTTCGATTATTGCGAAACTTGTTTTGGTTTCTGGAACTGGTTTCTCCTGTTATAAACGAGTGTCTAGTTTCGGTTACATGGTTTCAAAGTGAAACTAGTTTCTAGTTGTAGAAATGGGTGGATGGTTTCACCATCCGGTTTCAAAATGGATACCAGAAAAATGTCTCAGTTACTGTATATGTGGAACGAATTGAACGACAGCATTGCCGAAGGTAATATTTATATTTCCATTTTATCAGTGATTAACAAATAATAAACTGGAGGTAAATATTTGCGTATATATTATAATACTGTTACAAGTAATTATATATATACAAGTTTCATAAAATAGTCATGTTCAATAGACTGGGGTTTTAGATAATATTTTCCAAATTGTCAGTTGATTTTTATCATTATGTTGGTAATAGGAACTGCTGCTCTATTTTGCCACCAAGATCAGCTGAACTTAGCGCTTTCGTTTCCGCCATGTTTGTTGTGAGAGAACGCGAAACCGAAACTGCGAAATCTGCCTCGGAGATGGTTTCGAAGTTTCAGAAACCAGTTTTAGGTTTCGACATAATGGAGTGCATGGTTTTCCCGAAACCAAAGCCGGTTTAGTATAATCGAATAGGTCCTAAGTGACAGAAACCCATCCATGGTTAGTGATGCACACTATAACCAACTCTACGCATGACAGGTGGACAGCTTGCTCAGTTCGCCTAGAGTCAGCTCGCAATGGTTTATTGAATACTGGTTTTGTAGATTTCAGCCTGATAATGGCACTTCCTTATAAAATGATACTACATTAACTGTACGTAACTTGCAAGCAGCCTCCTTTCAACCATTGCCACACACGCTCCGCAATGCAGACATAGTGTAAGGGCGAAAAGAACATATTCGGAATGATTGTGTCGGAAGCTTACCTTTTTCCTCAGAAAGCTTGGCCAGTTCTCCACAATACGTATAGCGGAAGCGAACTGCAAACACAACAAATATACTGCTGTGGATTTCCTGATATACACTGAGTTAAAAGAGTTTGTCCAACGTTGATTTGATTTAATATCTTAACAAACGCATAAACAGTGATTAACAGTGTATTTCTTATCTGTTTTCACCTCGTGTGGATTTCATGGCTCTCTCGTTCAAATTGCCTGATCAAGTGGCATTGTCCGCTGCCAACTTTCGGTCTTTAATGTAATTTTCTAACCCTAATTTTTGGTATGTTGCAAATAGGCTCATTTTAATGCTAACCTCCGGTCTATTGCGAACACATGCCAAAATTGCCGAGTTGTCACGTTCTCTGACACTTTTGAAATAGTTAATGAAACAACACAAAAGTCACCGACTAAGGATGTTTAGACTTACCCGGCATTGTGAGCAACGGTCCATACAGCAGGCGTCCGTGGAATATTACCTTAGAAGTCTTCTCAACAATCTCATCTAGTCTCTCCCTGGTTCGGTCCCAATCTGTTGAGAGGAACATAGCATTGATATACAGAAATAAACAGTACTTGTTTAAGTCAATGATAGGTGTGCCATCTATAGCATTAGACGTGGGATACTGTAACCAGTGGAGAGTGGAACCTGTGGTTTTGGCGCTACTCCCACTGCTCGTACATTGGCATCTTACACTTATATGACTAAGCTGGGCTAAGAATGTTTCGCGACACAGGGCCTTTGTTCGAATCTTGGCTCCGTGGTTTAAAGTATGGTGAAGGTAGTTCCTTTCTGACTCATACTAAATTGGAAACATATATATAAAGACAATGAATAACTGTATGTGCTTTTCACCCGAGAAAGGAAGCACGGTAAGCGAAATATATCTTAGACAAATATTCGTATGGCATATTAAAATGTCTTTTGTTGCTGTCACTGTGAATACTTTGTTATAACTCCCTAACTCTATAGATGCAAAACGATACCCTTGCTTGTGAAGTAAATACCTCTGTTCTTATCAGGCTGTACCTGCTTACACTGACTGCAGTCATTAACAATACTTTGTTGTACAGGAGTACAAGTGTGGTGGCAAATGTATATGGTACCACCGTTTATTAATAGTGGCCTGTATACCCGTGGTACCAGTTTGTCTTTACCACTTAGAGATACCATGCCAGATCTCTCTGTTGGCATCCATTTTGATTTTATTCCTAACTCTGAATGACGGAGGTAGAGATCTATTCTATATCAATATCACCCAATCTAATACTTACGAGGCAAGTTGTATATTGACACATCTGGATACAACATCACCTGATGTTAATTTCGCTCTGATGGAACACCTTGTGTAAAACTACAATGCCATATCGAAGAAAGTTATTTTTTCACTGAACACAAGGTTTGATATACAAAGGCTCATCAAGGGGAGTTTTTGTACTGACTGAACACCATGGAGAAAACTTATTCCAGAAAACACCCATGAAACTCACCACCTCCACTCGCTATTTCACCACGCAGAGTGTCGAGATCATCTGCTATGGTCTTCCCACATTCTGCAAGACTATGGAGCTTGTGTGCCCAGTTTGCCCAGTCATCCGCTGAAATAGATGACTGTTATTAGGAACAAGCCTTGTTAATATGACAGTGTTTACAATGTTTCATTAGCCTTATGCAATAAATTTCAATATCAGACAATTTATCTTAAAAATACCTTTGTAAGGGATAAAATTGAATATCTACCCGCATTAAATTCTGCTTATTTTACCAGTTCATGATGATGCGGTATATCAGTCCACTCAGGGACCGAATAATCAATATAATGTCTATTTTGTAATGGAAAGAATATTGGTACCGTCACTACAATATCCAAAATGTACAATGAATAAATTATCATTACTATGTTTTACAGATTAAAATAGAATGCAACAAAGTCAGGTTGTGTTTCCCTGGCAAATATTTTTATAGAGCCATCCTTTGAAAAACTGAGCCTATGTCGGATTGATATGGTACTTTGTTGATACACAGAACCGCCAACACCATCAACATTGACACTTAGATTATGTCCAACATCTTCGACTCGTGTGATAGTAGTAGTAGTAGTAGTAGTAGTAGCAGCAGCAGCAGCAGTAGTAGTAGTAGTAGAAGTAGTAGCAGTAGTTGCTGTCGTTGTTGTTCTTGTAAAGTAGTAGTAGTAATTTGTTGTTTTACACCGCACTCAGCAATATTCCAGCTAAATGGCAGCAGTAGTAGTAGTAGTAGTAGCAGCAGCAGCAGCAGCAGCAGCAGCAGCAGCAGTAGTAGTAGTAGTAGTAGTAGTAGTAGTAGTAGTAGTATATGATGTACTGTAGTTAAATGTATTAATGAGGAGACAAAGTATTATTCAGTATCCAATACACAGTCCCTTACAAATGACATCATTTCTTAAAGCACGAGACGTAATGATAATTAGTATATTAATGATAATTACTATTAAAAGTCGCGAGAATCAGGGGACAAAATAACATTGAGATTGCTACACAATAGCTGAGCGGTGTGTCCTCGACGTGTCTTGTACTGCAATCACGCGGTCACGGCGTATACTTTATACTTCCATGGATAGATGTCGTGACTATCCTGAAACACGAGACCATTGCAGTTTAAATATTGCGATCTACCAATGGTAGGTAGTCACAACTAGTAGAAGGGGAACAAAGTTCAAACAATGTCATTGTCGGCAACACAACCGTCTTGCTACACACAAAAGGGCCAGAACAGTGACTCATGAAGTGAGTGAGTGAGTTTAGTTTTACGCCGCAATATTCCAGCTATATGGCGCGGTCTGTAAATAATCGAGTATGGACCAGACAATCCAGTGATCAACATCATGAGCATCGATCTACGCAATTGGGAACCGATGACATGTGTCAACCAAGTCAGCGAGCCTGACCCGTTAGTCACCTCTTATGACAAGCATGGGTTACTGAAGATCAATATTCTAACCCGGATCTTCACGGGTGAATCATGAAAGTATCAGGTGTAGGAACGAATCAGTAACGTTAACGGATCAGTTACGTGAACGCATCATTTACGTGGTCACATTAACCTAATATAATGTGCATGAACGTATAAAATGCATGAATGAATCAATGGAATGAATTAATTCAAATTCAGTAGCCAAGTCTCCCTCGTTGGACCTGAAACGCCTTCGTCAGCTCATGAGCTAAAGGCTTTTAGAGGTGCAGCATGTCACTGTTCTAGAAGGGATGGAATCAACCGCTTATGAACAGCCAGTGAGCTGGCAGTGCATGCAATTGCTTTCAAGTCTATACACTGGACAGATTGTACAATGACTATATCTGTGCTTATAGATAAAATATACATCAGCATCAGCGATGACCACCTGGTTACGCCGCAGTTTTGAATATTTTACCTTTGATATTACAAACTTGTGACTCTGAAGTTTACATGAAATAACCACCCAACCATACAATGACACGCTAGACTGGTCACAATCCTTGTAAAGAAAGTGAAGATTGAAAGGTAGGGGGGTGTCACTCTGTAACCGTTGAAGCCCTCTCTCTGCTACTTGCTCGTACCCCACCCGGTCAGGGGTACGGGTGGTGCCGATGGTATATACTGTGGTTATATTTGTCTATGACGGGTATCATCACCGCCACTGAGAAGGTGATAAGAGATGTCCATCCCTCAATATAAGGATCTTCCATGCGCCTCAGTATTTAAATTCTGTGACTCGCGTTCTTGAATCAGTGATTCTGTGTACGAGGTAGGGTATCGGTAATCAACACTGTTGAAAAATGTATCGGTAATATCAGAATGCGCTGGAGAAAAGGAACCAGGGGCCCGTTTCACAACGCTATCGTAGCGCTACGACTGCTGTTAATCTATGTTTAAGTATAGGAGGTACGACAATCGTAGCGCTACGATAGCTTTGTAAACGGGACCCAGTACTTCCTTGCATTTGGTTTACCAGGTGGGCAGTGCATTCAGACGACACATATGTTCCCTAGCAACTAGACTTTAAATGACTGTGAGAGTAGCTTGTGGTCAAAGAAAGGCATCGGGATTCCTTTCTCAACAGCAATTTCCTCATGAAAAGCAAATTTCACATTGTAATGTACTTTTAATGCAATGGGCCATACTGCCATTTGTTACCTCGCATTTGTCTGTTTCGGTGTCGGTCCCTGCCTGCACTAGAGCCACCACCAAACATAGAACTGCTGCTCGCATCATCTTGCCTGTCTTAGAGCTGGTCCGGGTGTGCGGGTAATCTTATACCCATCCTTGCAACATATTGCCGGGAGACGGGTAGAACCTGATACCAAAGTTATAAAAAGTTACCCATCACTGATCTCCCTCAAAAACCAACAACAAAGACCCGTACCCTATCTGAAAGCCTTCCACATTGAGGTAATATCGGATTTCGTGCTACTGGGTAGGGGGTGAAAATAGGGCCCCTAAGACGCAGTTACTGTCTTCTTTCAATTGTCCCCTGTGGTAATATTAACTGTTAGATTATAGAAACTACCGGCGGAACAATAGTCTATATTCATACATATATACGTATGTATGTATGTGAGTGCGTGCGTGCGTGCGTGCATGCATGCATGCATGTATGTATGTAAGAGTGTGTGTGTACGTGCGTGGTTTCGTGTGTGTGTGAATCTGTCTGTATGTTTGTCTGTCTGTGTCTGTGTGTATAGATGGATGAATTAAGCTACTTATCGCACGGATATGTATGAACTTATTCTGTGGACATTCCAAGGGTTACGACAACGCAAACAAGTGCACTTTATATAAATGTTTTTGGTGAAATTCTGCAAATCGTATTTGATTACAACTAAACATGTTCATAAACAAAATTTGAGACATGAGCAAACATAGATCTCATGAGTGAGTGAGTGAGTGAGTGAGTGAGTTGGGTTTAACGCCGATTCAGTGATTAGCAAGTTGTTGACTCATCAAACATTGATAAGTGCAATATCTATACATTTAAGGGAATTAAAACCGCAACTAGTCGAGGAAATTGAAGACATGAAGAAATGTCATATATCCTAAAACGTTCAGAACTTCCCTAAACCCCCAGGATGTATGCTAACATGTAGAAGGTAGCTGGTGTGACTTGATACCATTTCGGCTGTAGTGGTTGATAAAGAAAACCCAAAGGTCATAGTATACCAGTCGCATGAGAACCAACATGGGCGACTGGGGAACATCATCAACTTCAGTGAAACGTGACCTTTCATCACGCAAAGTATCTGTGGTCACACAATAGAGGGCGCTAACTGTATTGATATCTGTTTAATCTGTAGTGTACTGTAGGAGAAATGCCATATCTGTTTAATCTGTAGTGTGCTGTAGGAGAAATGCCATATCTGTTTAATCTGTAGTGTGCTGTAGGAGAAATGCCATATCTGTTTAATCTGTAGTGTGCTGTAGGAAAAATGTCATATCTGTTTAATCTGTAGTGTGCTGTAGGAAAAATGTCATATCTGTTTAATCTGTAGTGTGCTGTAGGAAAAATGTCATATCTGTTTCTAATCTGTAGTGTCATATCTGCTGTAGGTGTGCTGAAAATGTCATATCTGTTTAATCTGTAGTGTACTGTAGGAGAAATGTCATATCTGTTTAATCTGTAGTGTACTGTAGGAGAAATGTCATATCTGTTTCGTCTGTAGTGTACTGTAGGAGAAATGTCATATCTGTTTAATCTGTAGTGTGCTGTAGGAGAAATGTCATATCTGTTTAATCTGTAGTGTGCTGTAGGAGAAATGTCATATTTGTTTATTCTGTAGTGTGCTGTAGGAGAAATGTCATATCTGTTTCGTCTGCAGTGTACTGTAGGAGAAATGTCATATCTGTTTACTCTGTAGTGTGCTGTAGGAGAAATGTCATATCTGTTTATTCTGTAGTGTGCTGTAGGAGAAATGTCATATCTGTTTAATCTGTAGTGTGCTGTAGGAGAAATGTCATATCTGTTTAATCTGTAGTGTACTGTAGGAGAAATGTCATATCTGTTTAATCTGTAGTGTACTGTAGGAAAAATGTCATATCTGTTTAATCTGTAGTGTACTGTAGGAGAAATGTCATATCTGTTTAATCTGTAGTGTACTGTAGGAAAAATGTCATATCTGTTTAATCTGTAGTGTACTGTAGGAAAAATGTCATATCTGTTTAATCTGTAGTGTACTGTAGGAGAAATGTCATATCTGTTTAATCTGTAGTGTACTGTAGGAGATCCCTTACATCAACCAGGATTGAATGTGAGCACTTATGGATATGCTCATCCACGCTCTGGCTCTGAAGACACAAACTGGCGATGAGACAAGGCGTCATTGTATTGCCTCTGTCTGCCTTCGAACGATTGAGATGTAAGAGGTTAATTGCAAAAGGCACAACAACTGAACCCAGATAACAAAGTCGTTCAAATATTGCACATTGCACACAGAAAACATTCTACCCACAGTCGTGTGTCCAGATTACTGACGTATGCGAAAACAACGTCACAACCATACGATTCCTAGATACCGAAGAGGAACAATCCTCCAAATGTTGACGGAAAATGAAAAATTCTTTTCAACTTGCATGATTGAAGCTGGCCAAATATAGAATTCATTTGCCAGATATATACTCTCCCAAAAAAGAAACGCATATAGGAATTTCAACTGTATTTTTATGTTTATTTTGAAACATCTTGTAGGCTTTATGAGTCAATGAAATATGGCGAAATTGCACACTGGGAATGCAGACTTATCCGTCTTTGGCACCAACTCGAGGAAAGTCAGTTTGAGTGTCACATGGAGACGTGTGGTGGCGCTGAAGTCAATACCTCGTGTGACCACCGTGGGCATCCAGAACTGCACGGCATCGCCTCGGCATCGAACGAATAAGTCTCAGAATCTCGTGTTGCCCAATCGCAGCCCACTCTGCCTGTAGTGCCTGTGCGAGTTGCTGAAGTGTCTGGGGCTGAGGGTTACGGCGTCGCACCCGTCTGTCCAGGGCATCCCACAGATGTTCGATCGGGTTTAAGTCCGGTGATCTTGAGGGCCAGGGGTGCACATTGATGTTGTGGTTCTGTAGGAAGTCTCTAGTGTGACGTGCTGTGTGGGGCCTGGCATTGTCCTTTTGAAACAACTCCCTCTGGCGATCAATGATTGGAAGGAGGTGTGGGCGTAGGATTTCGTCACAGTACCGTTGAGCTGTCAGGTTGCCCTGGATCATCACCAAATCACTTCTCCTACGGCAGGTGATCTCCCCCCCACATCATAACACTTCCCCGGCCGAATGTGTCCACCTGGGGAACGCAAGCGTCGGCGAAATGTTCACGTCGACATCTGTACACCCGCATTCTTCCATCGCGTCGTTCCAATAGAATTCATCACTGAACCAGATTCTACGCCAATTCGGTAGGTTCAAGGCCTGAACGTTGGTGCACCATTGAACTCGATGTCGACGATGTTGCTGTCGAAGCACAGGGCCAAAATAAGGTCTTCTGGCACGTAAACCAGCCTCTCTCAACCTGTTCCTGACGGTCTGTGCAGAAAACCTCCTCAATCCGGGTATTTGTCGAGCGGTACTGGTCGCCGTAGCTGTTCGATGACGCAGGTGATGTACCCGGATGCCGCGATCCTGCGCCGCAGTGGTCGCTAGAGGTCGCCCACTACGAGGGGCATCTGCTACCGAATTCTGCCGGCGATATCTCTCCCAGAGCCGTGAAATGGTGCTTTGGTGAACATTCATGCGTCGGGCAACTGCACGTTGAGACTGGCAAGCAAACCAATGGCGATATGACGGTTGGCTTCACTTAGACGTGGCATTTTGCGTTCGTCAACAATATTCCAAATACAGAGAATAATCGACAGACAGCGATCAACCTTTTATATCCATCATTGAGACTATCTGATCCCCAACTTTCACGTGCATTGCATGTGAAATGTGTATTCTGTGACACTACACGCCGAAATTGAAAATCATGCTGTTAAATACGGGTATTTTACGGATGGTGCGTTTTGTTGTGATGTTTCAAAACATAAACACCATAGGACTCATAAACAGAGCAAAACCTTTTGTAAAATGAATCACGTTTTAATTCATTGCTCCAAGAAATTGCTATTTTCATGATGCGTTTCTTTTTTGGGAGAGTATATTTATAAATAAAGAGAGTTTTATCACGACTAACGGAACGATATCGGCAAACAAGTTGAGTTCGGATAAGGATGGGTGGAGGAAGGCCTAGAAAATCAGCTGCCATGAAGGGCCGATATGCATGCACCACTGCCTTGAGTAACGTATTCATTTCTGACTGGAGCTAGGACAACATCAGGGCTGGACAAAAATTGGAAATATGAAAGAATTGAACTCAAGACGCCCTCTCAGGATTGTTTATGTCTGATGTGACACCATAAATGGCTATGCTTGTGAATTAGATATTTGCATCTACATTACTACTCGAAACCAGACAAACTGTATTTTGCTCAACATCTTATAATCCGTTTTACGCTGTGGGTGTAATCATGTATTGTGGAGATGTGTAAACACATGGACTGGTACACATATTCCTGTTGTTTTAATCATTGATGTATTCATGATACATTCATGCATTAAATTCTACACTTTTTATAATTGATATAAAATAGGTTAATTGTCTTTGATTAATTCAATATAGGAAATATGCATGATTCGTTTTCTTTGGAAACTGACAGCATGTTTTTGCAGGTTGTGCAATTTGTCACGTTTGTTTGGTACTTAGAAACCCCAGTAGCGTGGTGTGACTGCTGACAGCGAGATCATTTCAGGGCCTATTTGTATTTCTCGTGACGTTGTTACATTTAATGGATGGCCGAACATACCCGACGCTGCTTTTTTTCGGGAAAGGCAAGCTCAGTAACCCAGATCGGAATTCGCTTTGAGTTGCTGCTGAATAGTAGAAGGGTAAGAATTGACACGACATTGATACGGCTCGGATTTTCAGCCCAAGATACATCACTTATTTATTGCACCAATTTCGCCTGTACGTCAGCTCTTTTCATCTGTGTCCAAGAACATACCAATGGTCTTCTACTCCTTTAAACTACATACCGTCTACATGAATGGCCAATAACGACAACATAAAGAAAAGCATATGCTCAGTGTGAACGGGGCATCACTTTAATGTTGACGTGACATAACGTTAACATTAACTGGCGTAAGGGAAATATTTACCGGCAGAACGTTAACATTAACAGACATAATGGAAATATTTACCGGCAGAACGTTAACATTAACAGGCATA